CATTACTTGCCTCAGGGTTATAGATGAGGGCAGGAAATCTAATATTCATTGATCATCTACTATGCCCCAGACACTATGCAGGCCTCTTGGACATAAGCATTCACATTTGACATTAATCACGCTCCTGGAAGTTGATCCAAGTATTACCATTTTTAAGTTAAGGAATATATTTTCTGAGAGCCCAGTAATGTGGTTCATGTCACACAGATAATAGGTAGCAGAGCCAGGATTTGGACCCACATTTATTTGATTCAGAAGTTCATACTTTCTTCCTCAAAAGGGGAACAAAGTGGAACGCAAGTCACGGGTAGCCTCAAGGTTCCTGAGTTGGTTCCCATGGGAGGGTGGCCTGAGCGCGCTCTAGAGTTCTGGTGGAAGCCGGATGGCAGCAGGGGGTGGCCTCGGTGGGTGCAGTCATAAGGGCAGGAGCTTCCTGGGAAGGCGAACTTACTGCCATAAACTTGGGCTTGATTTTATTGCAGACTGAGGGGCTGCAGAGGTTTTCCTGACACTGTTGCTCAGCAGCCTTTAATATAAAGAGTCACCTCCCCTTCTCTTGCTGCAGTGCCAGCCCTGTGCCTTCCCAGTTTTTGAGGAAACTCTACAAACCAACATTTACTTGTTTTTACTTAGCTCAGAGTAGCTTGAGGCTCTAGCCAAAATGACAGCTGTCTGCCTAATGGATGCTAAGGGCCTGGGGAAGCAGCATTTAAATCTCAGGAATGTCTGTCCTCAGCATGAGATGCACAAGGCAAATCAAGATGCTTTCTATTTCCTGAGTGAGATACTTTTCCAAGGAAGAAGGGTGTTACTCTTTGGGGGTCATCCTACCCTGATATACCTGTTCACTCACATTCTTGGGGAGATTAGGAAGCCTTTTGTAGAGGCTTGCTTAGGCCCGAACAACTGCTGGCCCTCACAGCTCCACCTTCTGCTCCCCCACCAAATTCTGCAGGGATTTTTATCACTTAAAGGAGAGTAGCAACAAAGGGGGTCACCCTTTTATTGTTCTCACTGGAATTTTTTGTTGAATCGGTGAAAACTTACTCCTTGATGGGATTATAACTTTAAGGGGAGGTTCCTCTCTCCTGAAGCTGGGTAAGACCCCAAGCATTCCTTTGAGGTTGCAATCCTTAGAGTTTAGCTCAGGGTCTGGCCCATAAAAGGTACTCAGTACGTGGTCATTGAGTGAGTGAAAGAATGAACTTAATTTTTCAGACTCTGACAACTGTGGGTGATCTTATAATAGGAGGCTGATCATAAGGCCTGGTGAGAATGTCATTGAAAGGTGAGGTGGTTTGGTAGAAAGGACAAGTGACATCAGCAATGAGTAAGTTACGGCCTTTGCTAATTTTCAATTAGCAACAAAGTGCGGGAAAGGTGCCCTGGCTCACCCATGCTCCTCCTGGATGTCAGTGAGTCAGGCCTACGGGACAGGTGCTTGCTGGAGGTGGCAGCGGTGAGCCAGGCCGTGTGCTGGGGGTACATAGTGACACTTTAGAAATAAGCTCTGCTGTGCAGGACCTAGAAACCACGTGGGTTTTATACTCTACACTGGCTGGAGTTTCTCACCCCTGCCCTCTCCTCCGGCCTTACCTGCTCTGAGGTGATGCAATCGGAGTGTGAGTGCTGTATGAGCCAGTGGGAACCGTGCCACTGGGCAAAGTGCTAAACCTCTGCAGAGTCAGCTTCCTTCTCTGGAAACAGGTGGGTTCTCTGCCTCAGCGTCCTTGTGGAGCACAGGGTGTGGCGCAGAGAAAACCCTCGGTGACTGATGGCTGCAGGCCCAACAGGTTGTGTGGGGCTCTTCCTGCTGTCCAGATTCCGGCTAAGGCCCAAAGCTGGAGCCAGAAGGCCCCAGGCCCCCTCCCCCACTTCTAAAAGGGCAGAGGTGCCCTGAACTGCCCATGGGGGCCGTTCCTGTAGAACCTGCACAATCCCCAACCCCACCTGGCCCAGGCTGCCCAACAGAAGGAAATGAGAGGAAGGGGGTGAGTAGCCACCTTCGGGAGAGCGGTGTGTAGGATGAGAGGATATTCCTTCTCGTCCTTCATGCTTTGTCCTCCCCAAGCCAAAAGAAGGGGCTCACAAGAATCTCTCCTCGAGACTGCAGGGGCCTGCAGGGGGGCAGCTGGCCTCTCGTTCCCCTGACCCATGGTGCCCCCAGGCCCACCAGGCGCCCTGCAGGAGTGGGGCTGGCAGAGACAATCTGGGGGAGTCTCCTGGGAGCCCAGAGGTACTCTCCCTCCCTGGGTCACCTACTCAGGTCACCACCAACTGCCAGCCTAGAGGAGACAACTGAGAAGCCAGGACACCCTCCCTCCCCCACGCGGCCAGTCCCTTAGGGAGATGTCTGCCCCTATCCCTCCTCCCTTGCTCCCACATGGCTAGACGATAGGCGATATCTCAGGAACAGTCCACGAGGCACCGCCATCTGTTGCCAGCCTGAGGGTGTGGGGTGGGGAGCATTTGTATCTTTGCAATAAAAAAAACACAAAATAGGTCTAGATTGCTGGAATAATTAAGAAAGTCAGTAAAAATATAGTTGGAGCAGTAGCTGCGGGAAAAAATGAGAAACAGTCTGTATTTGTAAAGCAAGGTCCTCAAACCAGGACTCTTCATATGCACTGCTATTAGCATGAGAAAATTCAAGATAATGGTGTAGAGAGGAGTTTCTGAAGCCAGACTGTCTGGGTTTGATTCTCAGCTCTGCTATTTAATAGCTGTGTGGCAAAGAGCAAGTTACTAAACTTCTCTGTGTTGCATTTTCCTTAAACTATAAATGAGGGCTAAGGATAGTACATACTCACAGTATTGTTAGGGTGATTAAGTTCAATAATCAGGTAAAGCTCATGGAACAGAGCCTGGCACACAGCAAATGCTCAAAAAATGCTAGCTTTTATTGCTATTTTTAAACCAGGTTCAACTTAAGTACGTGAGCAAAATCAGGTAAGCCCCTCAAGCTCACAGCTTCTTTTTGTGTAGGAAATCAAAGTACCCTGAAGACAAGCCTGCACAGCACAGTTCTGGCTTTAATACAGAAGCCTTTTAGAAAAAGGCATTTTCCTGGTCTGAGAGCTACCTGCACTCCCTTTGTGGTCCCCACACAGCTGAGGTGGCACAACTCGGTGTATCTTTGGCCTGGGCGATTCAGATTAGCTGCTGGCTGTTATCACATAAACCACACCGTCCTCTTTGCTTCCCTTCAGTTCACCCTAAGTAGAGACAGCCTTTTGCTTGAGGCTCTAGCCAAAATGACAGCTGTCTGCCTAATGGATGCTAAGGGCCTGGGGAAGCAGCATTTAAATCTCAGGAATGTCTGTCCTCAGCATGAGATGCACAAGGCAAATCAAGATGCTTTCTATTTCCTGAGTGAGATACTTTAACAAGGAAGAAGGGTGTTACTCTTTGGGGGTCATCCTACCCTGATATACCTGTTCACTCACATTCTTGGGGAGATTAGGAAGCCTTTTGTAGAGGCTTGCTTAGGCCGAACAACTGCTGGCCCTCACAGCTCCACCTTCTGCTCCCCCACCAAATTCTGCAGGGATTTTTATCACTTAAAGGAGAGTAGCAACAAAGGGGGTCACCCTTTTATTGTTCTCACTGGAATTTTTTGTTGAATCGGTGAAAACTTACTCCTTGATGGGATTATAACTTTAAGGGGAGGTTCCTCTCTCCTGAAGCTGGGTAAGACCCCAAGCATTCCTTTGAGGTTGCAATCCTTAGAGTTTAGCTCAGGGTCTGGCCCATAAAAGGTACTCAGTACGTGGTCATTGAGTGAGTGAAAGAATGAACTTAATTTTTCAGACTCTGACAACTGTGGGTGATCTTATAATAGGAGGCTGATCATAAGGCCTGGTGAGAATGTCATTGAAAGGTGAGGTGGTTTGGTAGAAAGGACAAGTGACATCAGCAATGAGTAAGTTACGGCCTTTGCTAATTTTCAATTAGCAACAAAGTGCGGGAAAGGTGCCCTGGCTCACCCATGCTCCTCCTGGATGTCAGTGAGTCAGGCCTACGGGACAGGTGCTTGCTGGAGGTGGCAGCGGTGAGCCAGGCCGTGTGCTGGGGGTACATAGTGACACTTTAGAAATAAGCTCTGCTGTGCAGGACCTAGAAACCACGTGGGTTTTATACTCTACACTGGCTGGAGTTTCTCACCCCTGCCCTCTCCTCCGGCCTTACCTGCTCTGAGGTGATGCAATCGGAGTGTGAGTGCTGTATGAGCCAGTGGGAACCGTGCCACTGGGCAAAGTGCTAAACCTCTGCAGAGTCAGCTTCCTTCTCTGGAAACAGGTGGGTTCTCTGCCTCAGCGTCCTTGTGGAGCACAGGGTGTGGCGCAGAGAAAACCCTCGGTGACTGATGGCTGCAGGCCCAACAGGTTGTGTGGGGCTCTTCCTGCTGTCCAGATTCCGGCTAAGGCCCAAAGCTGGAGCCAGAAGGCCCCAGGCCCCCTCCCCCACTTCTAAAAGGGCAGAGGTGCCCTGAACTGCCCATGGGGGTCGTTCCTGTAGAACCTGCACAATCCCCAACCCCACCTGGCCCAGGCTGCCCAACAGAAGGAAATGAGAGGAAGGGGGTGAGTAGCCACCTTCGGGAGAGCGGTGTGTAGGATGAGAGGATATTCCTTCTCGTCCTTCATGCTTTGTCCTCCCCAAGCCAAAAGAAGGGGCCTCACAAGAATCTCTCCTCGAGACTGCAGGGGCCTGCAGGGGGGCAGCTGGCCTCTCGCTCCCCTGACCCATGGTGCCCCCAGGCCCACCAGGCGCCCTGCAGGAGTGGGGCTGGCAGAGACAATCTGGGGGAGTCTCCTGGGAGCCCAGAGGTACTCTCCCTCCCTGGGTCACCTACTCAGGTCACCACCAACTGCCAGCCTAGAGGAGACAACTGAGAAGCCAGGACACCCTCCCTCCCCCACGCGGCCAGTCCCTTAGGGAGATGTCTGCCCCTATCCCTCCCCCCTTGCTCCCACATGGCTAGACGATAGGCGATATCTCAGGAACAGTCCACGAGGCACCGCCATCTGTTGCCAGCCTGAGGGTGTGGGGTGGGGAGCATTTGTATCTTTGCAATAAAAAAAACACAAAATAGGTCTAGATTGCTGGAATAATTAAGAAAGTCAGTAAAAATATAGTTGGAGCAGTAGCTGCGGGAAAAAATGAGAAACAGTCTGTATTTGTAAAGCAAGGTCCTCAAACCAGGACTCTTCATATGCACTGCTATTAGCATGAGAAAATTCAAGATAATGGTGTAGAGAGGAGTTTCTGAAGCCAGACTGTCTGGGTTTGATTCTCAGCTCTGCTATTTAATAGCTGTGTGGCAAAGAGCAAGTTACTAAACTTCTCTGTGTTGCATTTTCCTTAAACTATAAATGAGGGCTAAGGATAGTACATACTCACAGTATTGTTAGGGTGATTAAGTTCAATAATCAGGTAAAGCTCATGGAACAGAGCCTGGCACACAGCAAATGCTCAAAAAATGCTAGCTTTTATTGCTATTTTTAAACCAGGTTCAACTTAAGTACGTGAGCAAAATCAGGTAAGCCCCTCAAGCTCACAGCTTCTTTTTGTGTAGGAAATCAAAGTACCCTGAAGACAAGCCTGCACAGCACAGTTCTGGCTTTAATACAGAAGCCTTTTAGAAAAAGGCATTTTCCTGGTCTGAGAGCTACCTGCACTCCCTTTGTGGTCCCCACACAGCTGAGGTGGCACAACTCGGTGTATCTTTGGCCTGGGCGATTCAGATTAGCTGCTGGCTGTTATCACATAAACCACACCGTCCTCTTTGCTTCCCTTCAGTTCACCCTAAGTAGAGACAGCCTTTGCCCTTCCAGCTGCCAGGAAACGTTTCCAGACAGAATGTTGTGTCATCTTCTAATGCAACAGAACAATAATATTCAAGGCAACAGTCATTCTGAGTTAAAATGATAGAAACACAGAGATAATCTTGGAAATGCAAAAACCAAAACTAAAAAATAAAACCTCACTCTTCAGCCCCAGCCATCTGATCCCACTGAGTTCTGTGCCCATGTTCCTGGCATTTGTTAAAATATTGCTGGACTCAGTGAAGCGTGACCAGTTAAGATGTTAATTTCTACACTATCTCCTAAAACATAATATTGCATGTTTACGGACCCAAAAGATTTCGATGAAATCACACATGAACACTTGCCTGCCTTGGCAGCCGGGCTTTTAGATGATGAATATGTAAGAGCTGATGGGTAGGTTACACCCTTTTGGGGTTTACCTTCTGCAAAAAAAGAAGAAGGAAAAAAAGATTTACTTCTTTAGCCAGAGGTTTTAGATGGTTCTGTTCTGATAAGTTAATTCCCTCCCTCCAGTATATCTCTCACGTTCAATAAAATCAGTCCCCCGAGCTGAATTGTTGATTACAATGAGAAAGTCAAGTGGCATTTTGTTTTCCTATGTAGCCTGTGTTTTATTAATATTAGAAAAGAAGCAATAAAATCTCTGACTCGGATTTAATGTTAGCAACCCTTATTTTGCCCATGAAGATGTGACATGTAAGCTGAGGTTTTCATATATGTGCCTTTGAATGTTTAATTAATTCAGCAGATGAATTCAAAACACCCCCATGCTCTCCTTCTGGATGCTGGAGGGCTCTGGTCACAGGCTGGCCCTGCATAAATGGCTGCCTCTCACTTTCACGGACCCTGTGGGATCCATTTGAATTCCATGGCACTAGAGAAACCTGAAAGTAGGTAAATATAGATCAGCCTGGAAAATAACCATTTGTTGCCCACCCAGGGAAAAAGGTTAGATGCCAGCCTAGGAGAAGGAATGTTAATATGTTACAGGGATACCATGTAGGCATAAAAAAGAAAAATAATCAGGTGATTGGGGCTGGGTAAGCAAGTACCAAGCCTGTTATGACTGAAAATCACATGAAAGGCTACTGCCTGTAAAGCCTTCCTCTGCCAGTAGTTGATGCTTGAAATTCCACTGTAGGAGCTTTGTTTCACAATGAAATTAGAGAGAGTCGCTGGAATGTAGAAGCCCCTAAAAGGCAGGTAGTTTGTCTCACTTGGTAACTGTTGAGTCCCCAGTACTTAGAGCAGTGTCTGGCATATAGTAGATGCTCAATAAATATTTATTAAGTAAGGTAATATCCTTAGCTCTCTGTTAAAATTCAAATACCCTTGGGAAGGGTCTCACGTATTATCTAATATTTACACTTGATAATGAAAGCATTTTAACTCTCAACTTGAAGGAATATTTTTATAGGATGAGCTTAAGGAGGAGACAGCAAGCAGTGTCCAAAGGACAGCCTAAGGGTAGAACAGAACCTAGAGCAAGATTTTGCCAAAGGTGCTATTGGCACAAGGGACTCTAGTCATAAAACAGGCAGAGCAGCAGGGTCTCAGGAAGGCCCTGGGATTGGGGAGTAAGAGGACCTAGCTTTCTGTTTCTGTTTTGCCAGTGATTGACTGCTTCAATCTCTGAGACTCATTTTTCTCAGTTAGAAAACATGGACTATGATTTGGGCCAATTTACTACACAAAGTTATAGGGATCTAATGGAAAAACATTAAAATGTTTTAGAACTAGATATCACCATAAAGATGCAAAACATTCATTCTGGTATTGCCTATAAATGTCACTCAAGGTGGGGATGAGGCAAAATGTTTGGGCTTACTTGAATTACTTCATCTCACTAAAGTCACCTGGGAGCAGATCTTGGCATTTCCAGGTCCCCCACCCTTGTCTGGGCCTCTCCAAATAGACAATGACTGAGGTTACTTCAACCCAAGGAGGGACCTTTGGCTGTGGGTCTCACTTTATCAACAGAAACACTGACTCCCTCTATTAGCTATTATTCTCGCATCTAAAATCCTAAGGTTCTTTCTGTTTCTATTCATAAGGAAAAGGAGCATGAGCTCAGTTTTCTGAAATGTGGATCAAAGAATAAATGGGTGGGATTAGGAGGCTCTTCTCTGACCTTTCCCATCTCTGGACTGTCCAAAGATCACGCTGACCCAAAATGCACATCTCCCCTTCCCTGCTGCCCTGCCAGCCTGCCAAAGTGAATTAATTAAAGGAGCATAGGCAGCATGTGAAAATTAGAAATAAAAGCCTAGAGAAAGGTCATGGATGCATCTGAACCTTCAGAGGAGGATCCTGATGTGATCCAGCTAACTGCTGGCTGTGAGCCTCTGCATAAAGGGGAGTGTGCCTTGGCCACTAGTCAGTTATTACCCTTATGCTGCAGTGTGCTCCCCTAACTCATGCATTCAAGAGAGACTCCTAGCCACCGCAGAGCACAAATGTTTATTATCATTGGCAAAAAGTGTTTTGGGTAAATGTCACTAGGTGGACTGAAGGGACATGGGAGTTGAGATTTATAGGGAATCATCTCAGCAGATTGATTTTCATTTAAAAACCCAAAACATCTCTACTCTCTCATGGAATTAATTTTCTTTTAAACCTCTGTTGGGATTCTTGAATTGCAGGCTAAGCATTTAAGATTGCAACACTATTATTTAGCCAGGAGCTGCTTTGTAAACACCTGTGTGGAGATTATATTTCTCTCTATGCTTGACAAATTTATATTCTAGATATTAACATTTTCATATGGCCCCTATTCTGAATTCTTTTACCTAGGCAGACCTCACAGTACTGTGGTTGATGACTTTCCACTATCTGACATAGAAACCAGTTTAATTTGAACCCTAGGTGTGCAGAATTCCACAGGCCATAGGCTATTGATCAAGTTGAGATTAATCCTAAAAAGTCTGGTTGTAGTTCTGTTAAAACTCCAATCAATGGAGGATAGTAGGGATTGGGGCATAGGATGCCAAACTGTACCAGAAAACTATCCAGACTGGAAGACCTATTATATTATGAGACATTTTCCTCTTTTTTGCTTCAGTTGGTCTTCAATATGTGGTTCCTTCTTGAGAGTTGCATCACTCCTAATCTTGTTGGGATGCCAGGAAGGTTTGCAAGAATCTAGTTTTAGATCATGTGAAGCGTCTTTGGAGAAAATGGGAGATTCAAAGCCCAGAGTAGAGTAAATATAGGTAAGGAAAGAACATGGTGTTGTGCTCAAACACTAATGAGGACATGTCAGGAGTTTGAAGGGCTCCCACTGGCCAAACTTGGAAAATGTGAGTACCTAAAAGAGTAAATGATGATAATGGATCATATTGTATTTTTAAAAACAATCCATGAGTCTATAGTGGTGCTTGAAAAAAATAGGTGTGGAGAAGGGGGGAAGAAAGCCTTTCTTTTTATAAAAATACTAGCCAGCAAATGTGGGAGAAATGACAGAATTAGAACAATCATAATTTGGCAATTTCTAAAGTAATTCTTGCTGTACAAAGACCATCAATGCATGTTAAAACCACTGAGTGAAATTTTTAGGGAAACAAGTTATTCACACGGTTTAAAATTGTCACTCTACAGTTTGTGTATTAATTACAAGGTATCTTTACCATAGAGAGATATTGTAAGATATCCAAGAAATCCAGTTTAGAATCACTCAACAATTGGATAGAGTGAGATTACATGCCTCCTGATAGGGCCATTGTGATATACACAATGGATATGCTATGATAGTACTTCTTTAGTATCCTTACCAAAATGCTTAGCCTGAATCTATCTGTGAGGAAATGGTTGGACATGTTTGTGGCCCAGATTGTGGGATGTAGTACTAGACAACTAGCTGGGATTTCAAAATGTCATTGTCATTCATGACCAGAAAAGGTAATGTAGTGGTAGATAGTTGTAGGCTAAATGATACTAAATAGATGTGACAACTAAATGCAATGGATGATATTTGATTGGACTATGGATTAAAAAAACAGAGAAGAAGAAGAAAAAGAAGGAGAAATTACTATGAAGAATATTTTAGGGTAATTGGATATAATTGAATAAGAATAATTTATTAGATAATGTTATTGTATCAATGTTAATTTTTTAGGTGTGGTATTGAGAAAACACCTTGTTCTTAGGAGATGTATGCTGGAGTACTGAGGGATCAAGTGTCCTGATGCCTGTAACTTATTTTCACACGGTTCAGAACAAAATATAGATAGATGGTAGGGAGGTAGACAGATACAGCAAATGTAGCAAAATATTACCAGCTGGTGTATCTAGGTGAAGGGAATATGGGTATTCATCACACTATTCTTTACAATTTTCTGTAAATTAAAAAATTTTCAGAATGAAAGGTTAGGATGGGTAAATTCACAGAAATAGAAAGAAGGGAGAGGGCGGGTCATGATAATACAAAGATACTTGACGTTTTCATTGTGAAATCCTACTAGTTATTAGCTCACCAAAGTTACCTCTTTGGAATAGGGGAAAAAAGAGTCAAAATGATTATCTACAAAAATCCTATGCAAATTTTCACCAATGCCTAGGGTGCCTAACTGGTTTTCTTGGCTTCACTGGAGATGGCTGGTAATTATAGATCTGCTTTGGTTATGTAACTGTATTCCTATTATGTTAATGTGTGTGAGCAATTTAGTTAGTAGTTTAAAACCTATACATGCTTAAGTTACTCTACAAGAAGATATGTCAAAGAAATAATCAATCCTCCCATGTTTTCTTCCATCTGCTACTTCTATAGCTTTTCTTCTTCCTTCCTAATTATAACCCTTAAATAGAATTCGTGCCTCATATCAAATTTACCGAGTATCATAATTCCTCCAAGTGGTAAAGATACCTCAAGACAAATGCTGGGCATAGAAGCCACAGGGCATAAATCTGCAAAGAAGTAAAAAGCTAACCTTTGCAAACAATATGGCTTCTCTCTCACTTACCAACTTTACATCTCCCTGTATGGCCCCGGAAGATGACTGGTTAGCCAGAGACAGGTAAGATTCCTCAAGGGAGGAAACAACCTAAGACAGGCACAGTCGCAGGGGGGCCATCAGGTGAGAAATCGGGGATCAACAGTGGTGAAGCTCAGAACCTCACCCCCCCTGTTTTGAGAGAAATCTTCTGCATCCGTGGATGTTTTAATGCCCTTGTCTAGCTTGGATTAACACATAGTCTACAGGCACACACCTGATCATCTACAATTGCTCTCTTGCAACACTAAACAATGTTTTCTACCTTTATCTTGCATCTACCTACCACTTCAGCATTTTATTAAAAATAAAAATAATAATAATAATAAAGGGAGAAATGTGGGATCCACATATAAATCAAGTATAAAAATCAAACAAATATTCATATTTGACCTGATTATAGTTCATAATGCGTGATCAAAACTGAAAGTTTCTGTGATGACTGCCCTTGTACTGTTCACCATGTAAGAACTTATTCACTATGTAAGAATTTGTTTACCATGTAAGAACTTGTTCGTTATGCTTCAGAAGATTGGAGACTGACGAGAACTGGCTTGAGATGGATTAATGATTGTGCATTGAGCGTTGACTCTCCTATACAGAATTTTATTGTTGTTAACAACCATTTGATCAATAAATATGAGAGATGCTCTCTCAAAAAAAAAAAAAAATTCCTATGCAGCTACATAGTGAGAATGGTCTGACTACGGAAGTAATTAACTAAATAAAAACAAATCTCAGGTGAAACTGTAGCACAGTTCTTTAAGAGCCTCTGTCCTTCTCTACTCATTTATCAGAAATCTCTGGGAATAAGGTTCTAGATATGAGACACATTTGGCCTAACTAAAGGGTTGGTTGAAAAACCCAAATTATTAAATGCAATTCCCTTAATTAAAAGTGTGATTGGACCTGCAGATAGCTGCAGTGAGTTTAAAATAAGCAATTGAAGCCTTTTAGTATTTCCAGACTTTGTAGTGATTTATCACTGTAATTATAATTCATTATTTCATGATTCTAATCATCCAAAGAACTAATGCTTCAGATTTTTATGAAATAAGTTGAACCATAAACTAAAACCAACAGCATGTTAAAAAGAGCACATTTCCACTGTGGGGTCACTTAACCCAAGTGCCCGTGGAGGGCAGCCTTTCTCCAAGTGTGTGCATACCTGAGACGACAAAGGATTCTCTCCACCGTGGTAGGGATAATGATTGGATGCCATTGGAATAACTCCCTTTATAGCCAGACTGTCCAGCCACTTTCCGAATGAGTATTTTCCCTCCTGAATTATCAAGCACGCCACTATGAAGAAGAAAGCAAAAATTTTTTTGAAGAAAGAACAAAAATATTTATTGATACAATCAATAGACTATCAAACCAGGCTCCTTCTTCATTTAGAGAGATGAAAGCAGTGAGATTAAGAGAAGGTTTTCCTTCCACAGTGAGATATCACCTCACACCAGTTAGGATGGCCAATATTGAAAAGACTAAGAACAACAAATGTTGGCGAGGATGTGGAGAAAGGGGATCCCTCCTACACTGCTGGTGGGAATGTAAGCTAGTTCAACCATTGTGGAAAGCAATATGGAGGTTCCTCAAAAAGCTAAAAATAGAAATACCATTTGACCTGGGAATCCCACTCACAGAAATTTACCCAAAGAATATAATTTCTCAGATTCAAAAAGACATATGCTCCCTTATGTTTATTGCAGCATTATTTACAATAGCCAAGATATGGAAGCAACCTAAGTGTACATCAGTAGATGAATGAATAAAGAAGATGTAAGGTACATATACACAATGGAATAGTATTCAGCCATGAGAAAGAAACAAATCCTAGCATTTGCAACAACATGGATGGAGCTGGAGGATATTATGCTCAGTGAAATAAGCCAGGCAGAGAAAGAGAAGTATCAAATGATTTCCCTCATTTGTGGAGTATAACAACGAAGCAAAACTGAAGGAACAAAACAGCAACAGACTCTCAGACTCCAAGAAGGGACTAGAGGTTACCAAAGGGGAGGGGTGGGGGAGGGTGGGTGGGAAGGAAGGGAGGAGGGGATTGAGGGGTATTATGATTGGCACACATGGTGTGTCGGGGGGGATCACAGGGAAGACAGTGTAGCACAGAGAAGACAAATAGTGACTCTGTGGCATCTTACTACGCTGATGGACAGGGACTACAATGGGGCATGGGGGGACATGATAATATGGGTGAGTGTAATAACCACATTGTTTTCTCATGTGAAACCTTCATAAGAGTGTATATCGATAATACCTTAATAAAAAAAAAAAGAATGTTCTCCTTGACCTGCCACCCACCCTCCAGGAGGGGCGCCTCCATCCCGCCGCCTGGCAGCTGACCTCCCAGGCTGAATGGCCACCTCTCTCCCATCACAGGGTCTGATTGTTCTGTTTGCTGGGAATCTCTCTTTGCCACCATGTCTCAAGTTTCATTCCCACCAGTTCTTTTAAATAAAACTTCTTTTCTAACAGTTTCTAATTTGGTTTTGTGACATCACAGAATGACTCCACTTATTTCAAAAGGTGACATGACATTTTTAAAAGCAAGTTATTCCATTTCTTTTGGCCCAGGGAAGGAAGGCATGCAGCTAAATTAAATTCATTAGAAAGAGTTCCCAAAAGACTGGACATTGTCTCTTTAATTTCTAGGATTTTGAAGGTTTTAGATCCTGATTTGACAGCACCTGACTTACCTACCTTTTTGGTTCGATGTGAAGCAGGGGCTCCATTCTGGCTCCTGAAAACCACTTTCACATTGTTCTCTTCTTGCCCCAGAGCCTAAAATTGCTCCTCTGGGTATCTGCAATTTTATGGCACAGGGGAGCTAAAAAAGTACTTAGATTTGTCTTATGAACACCTTTCCTTCCCTCCAGTTGCCATTTCCTGCCCTCCTGACTTCGTGGTGAGTCACAACTTTCAACATTTCAATTTCCAGTGACCCAGAAGGGAAGAAAGTGATAGTAAAAACTAACATGTACAGTACTGAATTGCTTTACAATCATTCCCATATATGGTTTCTTCCCGGGTCCTCCCAGCAAACCTATGATGTGTGGAGGGAATGCTTTTCCATTTCCTAGAAACAGGCTTAGCCGGGTGAACTGTAACTAGTATTTTGTAGACGTTGTAACTAGTATATTGCAAAGCAGGGCTTTAAACCCAGTTCTACCTGACCTGGAATCCTGGGCTTGTCCCACTGGTCAGAGTTGCCTCTCAGGGTACAAAAACAGCACAAGACTCCAGCTCCTCTTGGCGGCCCTGCCCTGTCTCCGCTGGGGAGCTCTGAGAGTCCGTGACCTCGTTTCTTCCTGCTGTAGTGGGGCTGGTCTCGGCTCCCCTGGAGACCGCACGAATCCCACTCACGGGTCTCTGTTCACGCTGCATTTAGCTCTGGAAAACCTGGTTCCACTCCTGCCTGACTTGCCTTGTGTCACCCAGTGCCCCATACCTCCCTTCCAAAAAATGTTCTTTTTTGGGGGGCAGGTACCAAATTTCTTTATTTGAAGGAATGGTACAAATGAAGACTTAAGTAGATGTTTGAGGACAACTTATTAAGATAAAGGAACCCCAACATCTCTTGGCGGCCAGGGAAGTCCCACAGAGACTGACGTGACTGGACTACACCCCTTCCTAACAACACCCAAAAATCTTTTCTCACAACTGAGACTCTGATTTTATTTGGTCTTGTGATATTTCCTACACATTTCTTGAGCTAATTTTTGTCTCCCACTTAGACTGGAAATATTCTTATGAAAAAGGCAATGTTTTATGCTCCTGCAGAGGGAAGCCTGTCCGTGGGGTGCGGGTACCAGCTATACTGGCTTGCGAAAGCCAATGCCTAAGTTCTCAGGATTTTGCCCGCTGATTCATTGCACTGCTGCTCACAGTGAAGGTGGGGCCTGTGCTGAAGGGCCCGGGGAGGGCCCAGGGTGTTCTCCAGCTGACTGGGCTGCTCATGTTCTTCGTGAAGATTAGGCAAGACTGAAAACCCAGGCTGTGGGAACCGTACAGATGCAGAACTGTTGTACCTCATCTTGTGGGGGGACTTAATTTGAGGGTGTGAATATTCACAGACATTCTAGATGAGGGGCACCCTGGGGAGGCCAGGGGTCTGTAAACTACAGGAGGTGACAGCAGTCCACAGCTATGGGGTAGGGATAACTGAGGAGGGGGTGAGCCTGAAGGAGCCTGTGCTTCCACTCATGAAGCAGATGGGGGCTCAGAGCCAGGGTAATTTTGAGAACTTGGGCAAATGTGACATCATTTGTACCATCGCTCAGAGGCAGGAACTTCCTACGTATTCTCCAAAAGAGCAAAACTAATTCTACTTCTTTGCATTCCTCAGATGCTCTGCATGATGCTGAACAGGGCCTTGAGGTTCCCTGCCCCCAACCCCCGACCCTGGGAAGAGGGACTGAGATAAACTAAGGGTCAGCTTCTTGGCTGGGAGAAAAGGGACTGCCAACCATGAGATGGGGTTTTGAATGGCTGCCATTCTCAGGGTGGTAACCAGTCAGAAACCAGTGTGAAGTATCCTCTGCTTGGAAATGGCCTCTTCATTGCCCCATCTCAGAGAAATCTGCCCTCTCCCCAGTACTTGGTACCACTTTACATACAGAGGTTAGTTCTGGACAAGACTGAGCCAAAATATGATGCCTCAGATATGTACATTATCCCTTTGGTTGGAAAGAATCAAGAGATTCACTCAAAACAGAATATCTGATCACGATATGCTATATGAACATTAAACCCTCTAAGCTAAATATGAATTTCTAAACCAAAGTATGCTCTCTGCAGTTCTTACTGGGGGGTGGGGGTCTGGGGGTGGGGGTGGAACTCTGACAGGACAATGACAGGAAGCCCCTCATGTACTTTCTATGTATGCTCTCTGTCTTAAAATCCTGCCTTCTGAAAACGGACTTGTTCTGTTTGTGAAAAATGAAACAGTATCCAAAATCCCTCTCCTTCCCCTCAGGACCTCTATTGTCCTCCCCGCGGACCGTGACATTTCCTTCCAAGTAGAGGTCCCTGCCGCATCAGGCACTGGTCCAGGAGCTACAATGGCTCTTGGTTGCTCAAGAGCAAACTGTGTTTTGGAAACATTCAAGTTCTTCTCCTGTGTCCCTCTCCCCTCATCTGTGTTCTTTCCAGTCAGCTCCTACGCTCCAGCCCAAACACTGGGTCCTAGTCCTGGTCCTTGTCAATGTCCTTATTTCCTACTCACAGGTATACCTATCCATCGTTAGGCCTTTCTCAGCTCTTACTGCTCCGAAGTTCACATCCCCCTCACATCTGCACTCTGTACATTAAGCGGTGCTGGGTCCCCCCTGTTCTCATGCACATGTATCACCTGGTTTTTGGGCTAGAAGGCAGGAAACACAAGTTCTAATCTTAGATGTGCAGCTAACAAGCAATTTAATTAACCCCTATTTCTCAGTTCCTCTTCCAATCAGTGGAGATGCTAACAGCATCATTTTGGGTTTAGATGATGTTAGGAGAGAATCATGGTGTAAGGGATTACTGTCACGGTGACGTCTTTAGTGAGGTCAAATTAATTCGAGCAGCTCTGTCCTGCATAGGAAACAGGAAGGCAAGAGACAGCCAGCAAATGCCAGAAGGAGCAAGTGTCAACCCTATCAGGTCACAGCTGGAAAAATACAGGCAACCTGAAAACAGGTCTAGCCTCTGCAGCAGATGTCAGTGACTCCACAGACACAGACTGGAGGGTGCCGGTGGTGGTGGTCTACGGGCATGCACATGTGTGTGTAAGGATGTATGTGAGCATGCACGAGTGGACAAGCACGTGTGGAGGCATACATGTGTGTGCAAGCCTATGCACACAGCCACGTACATAGATTTGTATACCTTTTCCCTCTTTGCATGAAATTGACTTTAGAGACAAGCAAAATATTTTTTTCCATAGCCTGGAGTTAAGAACCAGCATTTGGGGTCATTTTTCTTTAATATTCCATTACTTATCCTTAAATAGCCTTCATAATTCTGCCCCCTTTGAAAAATCAGTTAGCTTGGCATCCCTCTGTGGGTGGAGTGGGGGAGGAAAGGAGTATAGCCAACAAAATCTGCTAGTAATTCTTAAATCTTGTTGGACACACAGCTTTTTTCTTACTGTTCCCCAAATTTCAGAGAAGCTACTAACTAGACACCTTAAGAGGGAATGAATTTTGTATCTTCTCTCTCAGGGAAACACCAGTGATCAATCAACTGACCCACATATAGATAAAAAAAAGGAAAAAGATGCCAGAAGCCTGAATAACTCAGAAACTTCCTCTAGTATCTCGTAGCTGAGCAGTGACCCAGGAGCCACGTCTCAAAGCAGTGCTGGGAGGTGGTTTGGAGTGTGGGTGCTGGACTTAGGTCTGAGTCCCCACTCTGATACAGTGTGGCTTTGGAAAAGCTAGTTATACCAGAAAGTGGTATCTGGGGGCTTCATGTTTGAGATGTGAATAATAGTGGTGAATACTGCTTAAGGGAATGGCGAGGATTCACTTAGGTAACATAGGGGAGGTGCTTGGTACACACACCTTAGCTTTATTATCAAAGATACTAAGTAAACACACATTTCCCTGTGTTTTGATTCCAAGCCTAAGCAAGAGGCACAAGGACTGTGTGAAGGTCACTCCCCTGATATAGACAGTGACTTAGTCTGAGGTATGTCATGCTTCTGTCCCCCTTTCTGGATCCCAAGCTCACAGGTGACCAAGCAGAGCCACCTGTCACCCTTCTCCTCACTTTTTCTGTTCCATTTGTTTACAGGCCATCACCACAGCTGTGACATTTCACCTCCAAACTTCTGGGCCTTCCTTAGTCACATACCTGTTATTTCCTTGCATAGCACATAGAGGTTAGAAAAAAAATACTTTACATCATCAAGAACTTGTTTTTCTTGTCATGAACATGAAGGAGTAGAATCCTCCTCCCCTCCGCATAAGGGGTAAAGAGAAGTCAGCCCTCCTTTCCACAGAGTGCCGCAAGAGGCGACCCAGGACCACGCTCGGCTTCTGCATAAGCCCATGGGATAAAGTTGTCAGATGAAATACAGGATGTTCAGTTAAATGTGTACATTGTTGCTTGCCAAATCAGGAAACCCTGCACTGGTGGCTCCCTGCTCACACCCTGGTCGCTGGTTATTAAGTAGCTTAGAGTTACCCACCTGTGAACCGCAGCGCCACACACGCTGGAGTAGGAAGCATAGACGTCCGTGCCATAAACATGGTATCTGGGGTCTTGACATCCTGCTGGACATTTCACAACGAACTCAGGATTGATTATCTTTCCAGCTTTGACATCACAGTTGATCTGAGGCACAGCTGGGAATGCAAAATGAGGTCAAAATTACACCTTGTGGTATCAGCTTATAATATATGCGGTGACTCTGTTAGGTCATAACTATCCATTTACTTAATCTCTAAAAGCCAGATCCTGGGCTGACCCTGGATCCCCTCCATATAATCAAAGCAAAGATGTAATGAGGACATCCCTCAGACCAACAGTACAACAATGACCATCCATTGCATCTCACCTGTCAAGAACAAAAATAAAAGGCTCATTCCTGTGCTTCCTCAGAAAATCAATTCGTTGAAGAAGAGAACTCTGGGAAAAGACCCACCTCCAGTGACCAGAAAAGTCATCGTGAGTCCATGGCCGGTCGGCACTGGCCCTTCAGGTGCTCTGGAGCCAGCCCGGGAAAAGACGAGACTCTCAGACAACATCACAGGAGGAAGAGAAGGTGTTGGGGGAAGGGCCTGTGAGGGGGCGTGAGCCTTGCAGCGGGGCAGGCCGGGACAAGGTTGGCCCCCTGAAGCAGGGAGGGGATGCTGGAGCCTGGGCGTGGGTAGGGTAGGCCCGGTGAGGCAGGCTTGAGGGCTTGTGTTCTGTGCAGGAGGCGGGATGCAGTGGAAGGGTTTTGGACAGGGGAGATAGATAACAAATGTCATCTTTTGTCTTAGGCCTAGATGATGGCTCCTAGACTCAGGGCCAAGGTGGCAGTGATCTCTTCTCATCAGCCTTCACCCTTGGTGGAAATCTAGGAACTTCCCTGCTGAGCATCCAGGGGAGGCTCATTCATTCCTTCCTCCCTCTTTTCTGGCTTTGTTCCTGCCATTGCCAGGCTAGCACTGTCCAGTAGGCGAGTGTTCTGGAGCTGGAAGCTTGCCTGGGGATGAGGTGGAGTAGATGTTCTAGTGGCGGTACCTAAGAGGGAGTGCGGCCACACCTTTCCCAAAAACAATTTCCCCCCAACACTCCTGAAGGTGAACATCTCCTAGATGATACTCTGCAGGTGCCACTGGAGCTGAGAATGTATTCTATTCTGGGCCCTGCTCTTCCGAAGGCACTTGGAAACAATGCACACAGTTCAGAGAGTACGCAGGCTCACGAGGTGTTGGGAGAACACCAGACAGGAGGGCAGGCTGGCAGAAAGAGGTTGTTTGGCCGTAAAAAGGTGAGAATTTGGAGGCAAGTGATAGTTGTCTTGGTAAGACTGTTGTGTGATTTGACACCAGAGAAGAGAGAACTAGGACAAAAGGGGAGACTTTTTATAGAGGCAAATTTTGCTAAGCGGTTTCCAGTAACTGAAGTTCACTTTTGAAGTAATGAGCTGCCTCATGAAGCAGTGAATGAGCCGGGAGTACATAAGCAGAAAGTGACCAGGGAAGAGGGGATTTCTACATTGGGTGGGAGGTAGAAACAAAGCCCCACCCGTGCCGAGTCTGTGGTTACATGCAAGGACTCAGGATCCCTGCCAGGCCACCCACCCTCTAACTGGGTTACTGAGATGGTCTCCGGGTTGTTAATGGCTTCCAGCTGCAGCCAACATGCACACTCTTTTTTGTTTAACCCTTATGTGCCAGAGTTGCATTTCCTCCAGGCTGGAGAGAGAACTTCCTGCTCTTTCCCTAAACATCCTCCCAGATAATCTTTGCCACTCAGGGCCAGGCCAGCATGGTCCTCTTGGGAGCTCGGGGGTTGAGTCTGATCACAGGCTAGAACAGTTTGTTGTCTACGTTAAGAAGTGGAGCACTGTGCTTAGAACAGTCTGTGGTTCGTTTCTGCGTGCCACAGGTTGTTGCCTCCTCTCCAGAGCTCTTTTCTTTTCATCTTTCATTCATTTAAACCCTGAAACTCAAGGCTGCATTTACTCTTTTGAGACTTACAGAGTATATTTTTGAAAAGCAATTTGGGGGCTGAGGGTGGCAGTGTGCAGTCTGTCTCTAAATTAGTTGCTTGGACCGGGGTGTCACTGGATGTGTCCAGCTCTCCTCCCTTCTGCAGGTTACTCCCCCATTCCCAAGTGCATCTCCTCCCTTAGATATAAAGAAAATGAACACATGCCTTCTTGGTTCTTAGCTATTTGAAATAGGAGGTGACAAGACGTGGGACTGGGATTCAATTTGGATGTGACTTTGGCACCCTGAGGTTTTGGATCTCCTAGCAGCCAACCCCATCTTCTGGAATTAAGTAAATGAGGCTGTATCTAGAAGCTTATTGAATGAGTATTTTTAATGACCAAACCTACTGAAAGACTTCACAGTGCCCACAGCACACGCACTAGACTTTTCCATGAAATAGTTGGTT